CTTGTGGTTAGCAGTTCAGTGCTCATCCTACAGCACCACAACTGGACTTCTAAATTATCATTATATCCCCTTTCTGTCAAATTATTAAGAAGTTTTAAATGACATCATTACTACAGAATATTACTTGACAATGAGCAAAGACTTTTTGCTTCTACTGGTTTATTTGAGATTCACAGCAAAAGATGAAGTGTGATTATATTCATTTTTAAGATAAGTAAACTGAAGCTTAGGAAGATAAATGACATCTTTTAAGTCACTGAGCTAGAAACCTAATGATTTTACAAACAAATAATGTGTCTAATGAGTTAATGAACTTAAACATTTTTAGAACTGAAATGAGTATTCTAATTGCATTATCATTATTCTTGTTGATTGTTTTCTCCTTCTTAAAGCATTCCCTGTACAATGCTTCCAACAAAATCTGTAGTACTAAAATACATGATGTTGTTGTTAAGTGTCATCGAGTCAGTTCTGACTCATAGCAATTCTCTATATGGTTTCAGAGGGGTGAATAATGAGTTTGAACTGCCGACTTTGGGGTTCAATTCCACATTGCTGTCCAGCACATTATCCTGCAACCCACACCAGGACTCCACCAAAATCCACGACAATGATTAAAAGCTCATATTTGAAAGTGTTTGATTAAGTTAAGAGCTTTGTAACTTTTTAATCTCATTAGTGTTATTATCTGGTTTGCCATGTTGACAATCAGTTTCACTCACCTTCTAGAATGATATTTGTTCGTCTCCCTTCACCTGTGAGAGGATTGCTAATGTAGCAAGTCAAATTGACCAGTGAATTGTTTCCAAGAAGAGTGGTCGTCATGTGAAAGAATCCAGCTTTATCTTGTGAGTAGGATGTTGATGAATGTGGGATTCTCTCTCCTTTTTGGTCCCTCCACTCCACGTTGGGCTTTGGATACCACCCTCCTGAGTCACATACAACCATGACTACACCAATGCCAGAATTCTGAACTTGGATTTGTGTCTTTACTCCTTGTGCTGGTGGAAATAGAAAAGATAGAGAAAGATAGTTATTGCACTGAGATTGGATTGGGAAATATAAATGAGTGTTCTCACTAATCTGTGTCCTTATTCTCGTTGTTGTTAGATGCCATTGAGTCATTTCTGATTCATAGTGACCCTATCCACAATAGAATGAAACAATGCCTGACACTGCGCCAAATTCACAATGATTGCTATGTTTGAGCCCATTGCTGTGGCACTGTGCCAATCCATCTCTCTTTGGGGAGCTTCCTCTCTTTCTCAGACCCTCCACTTTACCAAACTTGATATTCTTCTCCAACAACTAATCCTTCCTGATAATATATCCAAAGTATAAGAGATAATGCCTGATCATTCTGGCTTCTAATGAGCATTCTAGTTCTATTTATTCTAATACAAATTCGTTTATACTTTTAGCAGTCCCTGGAACTTTCAATATTCTCCTCCAACACCATAACTTAAATCCATCAATTCTTTTATGGTCTTCCTTATTCATTGTCCAACTTTCACATACATATGAGGTTACTGAAAATACCATGGCATGTATCAGGTGCACCTTAGTCTTCAAATTGACATCTCTGCTGTTGAACACTTTAA